CCTTACTCAGGTCTATCCCCACTCCATTTCCTATTTCATACAACTACCAAAATGATTTTCCTATAAAATAGTCTGATCTTGTCACTCCCTATATTCACTAAATTCAAATGGGGTCACCAAGAGTCAGGCATGACTGAAAAACAACTGAACAAATATTTGAGAGTTAAAGACCTTTGTAACCTGGCCTCTTCCTCCCTTTCTAGTCTTCTAACACTTCATGCCCTAGACACGCTCTACATTCTAGCTATACTGGCCTACTTGCTGTTCCTTGAACATTGGATTTGGGGGTCACTGGACCTGGGTTTAAATGGTAGCTCTTACCATTTACTGCCTGTGTCCTTGAGCAAGTAACTTAACTTCTCTGGGCCTCAGTTTCTTCATCTGTAAAATAAGGATATTGGACAGGATGACATCTAAGGCCTCTTCCAACTCCAGATCTGTAATCCTATGATATTAAGATCCTATTTGAGCCTATTTCAATGTTTACAGTTAATAGTCTTGAGTTTGGTGACATTTTTAAAAAGTTAACATTTTGTTCTTGTTCAGTCGTGTCCAACTCTTCGTGATCCCATTTGAGATTTTCTTGGCAGAGATACTGGAGCAGTTTGCCACTTCCTTTTCTAGCTTATTTTACAGATGAGGAAACTGAGGTAAACAGGGTGCAGTGACTTGCCCAGGGTCACAAAGCTAATAAGTGTCTGAGGCCAGATTTGAACTCAGAAAGAGGACGCTTCCTGACTCTAGGCCAGTCTCTCTCCACTGCAGTGCCAGCTAGCTGCCATTAAGATTCATATGTGTATATGTAAATACCCATATGGGTATATACACACAAAACTATATATACTTTTTTTGATTTCACTCAGACTAGTGTAAATTTAGGATTTTTAATAGAGACAGCCTTCTAGGGTTTTTTTTTTTTCCTAACACTTTCTGATTTGAAGGGGCTGAGCTTTAATGTTGCCATCTGAGTGTCAGTTTGCAGGCCCTAAGGGCAGACTTATATCAAGCCCAGGGCAGTCTGATCACCAGGCCATGATTTATTATCACTGCTGAAGCTCCAGTGGGAGAGGGAAATGGAGGGGAATTACCAGAGCATTCTTTCTTTAATAGTCTTGGTTTCGGTCTGCTCAGTGTGAAACTCAATCCAGTGTAGCCATTTCCCATGTAACCAAAGCAGAGCTGTATTTTCAACCATCAGCTGGCATTTTGAGGTCAACTCCATTTCTTTGCAGGGGTGTCTTTGGTCCAAGTATGGAGTCTTGAAGAGTCAACTGTGACTAACCTGGCCTATTCCTGAAAGGCTTTCTTTATTGTATCTACTTTAAGTTGCCAAACTCCATCTCGCAAGCTTTCCTCATCAATCACATTTATAGAAACTTGAAGGGCTCTTATAAGTGTCTACATAACAGCAACTCATAAAAATAAGACACTTTTCATGCACAAGCTCTACACGTGTCTGCCAGCTCCCCTGCCCCCCCCCATTGACACAAATAAAGGATTAAGTTAAGTGCAAACAGCAACATCCTCTAGCCAGCTTTGGCCACATTCATTGATTGATTTGAGAAAGTTGTGTGATGGTCTGCCATCAACCATTTTCTCATGTGTTCTTTCTTTTTGAAAAGTCCCTCTAGATCCATAAAAACAATATTGCCCCCATATGGCACTTCACAGAGAGATCAAATTTAAAAAATTAAGACCCTGGAAATCATCGGAGATTTCATCGCAGGCAACTTCTGATAGTGTCTTCATAAAAAAACGGTTGCACGCAAAAGATCTGAGCCATCATAAAATTGGACCTAGATAGTTTCTCAAAGAAACTCTCCTTGAGAATGGCTTGTATTCCACAGAAGATCAGCTCATACTTATTGAGCTTCTACTAGGTACAAGGCATTGTGTTGGATGTTATGTCTGGCCTGTTTTGTCCATATGATGTCAGGACATGCACCCATACAAGATGACAATATGACCCCAGAGGGGTTCTGTATTAGGGCAAATTGACTTTGCTGTTAACATAGCAAACTCAGAATTCTAATCCTTGCTCTTAGGAAAACTTGCTATGTGACTCAGATTCTCTCCGTGTCTTAGTTTTCTCAGCTGCAAAATTTGGACACTGTGACAATGTGCTTGCCTTACCCCTGAGGGTACTATGAAATGGGAAGGCCAAAGATGAAATCTTTTTAATCAGTGAGAGACTTGGCCCTAACACTGCCAGCCAGGAGGACAAGAGGGGTTTTTCATTTTCAAAAATATATTTTCTTGATAACTTTTTGCTTTTAGATCACATTCATTCCTGCATATACCTTTTCCTCATCCCTTCATATACACATTGAACAAAGAAAACCTTTTGAACAAAACCAACTGACACAGTGACCATGTCTGATAGTGCATGCCTTATTCTGTACCTATAGTCCCCTGCCTCTTTTGGGAAAGGGAAAGTGCATTTTATCATCTCTGTGGCCAAGGTCTGTCCTTCCAATCACTCAGAGTTTGACTTTTTTTAGCCTGCTTTTTCATTTATGTTATTAGCATCGTTGCCTGTGTCATTCTATTAGTTTTACTCCATTGGTTTCTACAAGTCTTCTTGGGTTCCTCGGGATTCCTTGCATTCATCGTTTTTGATGGTGAATTGGATCACTCTTCCCTAATTGTTAAAGGTGCTGCCTTTAACACTTACAAGTGCTGCCAACTTTTCTAAACTTCTATTCTTTGGGGGTAGAGCAGGACAGGAGGGCCTCCAGCAAAGGGAGACCCAGATAGTTTGTAGGGACCATGGTTGGGTGAGGGCAGTGGGGCCTACTGGCTCAGGTATGGAGGTTAGTAGATCTAGGGAGTGGTCATATGGTGGTTGATTCGTGAGCAGGGAGTGGGGACCAAGGAGCTCAGGCTGAGGCATCTGTGACATGCTACTGTGCTAGACAGATATGACCCAAGAGTTTAGAGGAGGGAGGTGGGTTAAGCCTTTTTTATAGCTTTAATTTAATTTAATTTTTATTTTCTGTTCCAAATTCTCTCCTTCTACCCCATCTCCCACTCATTGAGAGAGCAAAAAATACAATACCTACTAAATGTATGAAATCCTGCAAAACATATTTCCATATTTGCCATGTTGCATAAAAAGAGAAGCAAGAAAAAGAAAGAGAAAAAAATGCTTCAGTCTACACTCAAAGTCCATCAGTTCTCTGTCTGGAGATAGACAGCATGGAATTAAGCTTAATTGGTTAGATTCAGATAAACAATGCTCAATATTTTGTTTTTTTCTCATTCCAACAAATTGTGCAAACCCTGTAGCCAAATGGTATACTTTGGAGGGCCACTGGAGGAGGTGGGTTGTTTTAGCCTCAGGAGGGAACCTTTCAAGTCAGAGGTGGAGGGCAAGGCAATACCCACTGGGTAGGGGGTGGTAAGAATCCCTCATCTCTGGTCCATTCCATGGGTTAGGTATAGGAAATCCAAGTTTTCCTTGAGGAGTCCTGGGTCTAAGACTTGGAACATGAGGGCTCAAAGAAACCCTAGACACCATCTAATTTAAAGGTTCACTTGACTTTGATTCAAGAAGCATTTATTAAGCACCTGCTGTGTGGTGGGAACTGGGGATACAGAAATGAAAAAAGGCAGACCCTGTCCTTATGGAAGCACTCTATTAGGAGGAGACAGTATGAACATAGATCAGTAAATACAAAAATACATGAAGAGCAAATGTAAAGCAGACTCAGGGGAGGGGCAGGGTATGTGCCAAGCTGTTTCTGGGAGAGTAAATGACCTACATTTTCTCCTATAAACTGGGCCACCTTCTAAAAGTTCTACACAATGGCTCACAGAGGCAGGGCTGGGGAGCTGGGCAGGAGATGTAGGGAGTGTAAGGAGGAAATGTGGGGAAAAGCAGGACCTAGTTTTGACTTGATTGTTTTTTGTTGGTTCAGTCCAGACCTGTGCTTCATTGTAGGGAATTTCTAATGTGGAAACTGCCTCCACCTATGCAGATTTTCAGCTCTATGCATCTTTTGGTCTGAAGGAGCTAACTGAAGTCCTGAGAACATGATCACACAACTAGCTAGTAGGTGTTAGAGATGGTACTTGTACACAGGTTGTTCTTACTCCAAGGCCACCACTCTCTGTTCACTGTACCACTTGTCTGTATTGACTTTATGTAAGTTTGGCTAATTTGAGAAGTAAGGACCTTGGGCATAAAAGTTTGTCATGAGCCAGAGGTTGGGAAGCTATTTTCTAATCAAACCCTAATGGAGTGCATAGAATTCAATTAGAAAGAGAATGCCTTACTGTTTGATCCTTCTGGGGGGGGTGTGAATAGGGTTTCCATCCTGGGCATTAATAACTGACTAGGGGAGGGTCATTATTTTGCTTCCGTTCCATCTTAACAGGAAAATATGCATTCGCTGTCCTCTTTAAATGGAACCCTCAGTTTTCAAAGCAGTATATGCCACCATGTTCCTCCCTCTGTGGTATGAAGACCTAGCCAGGACACTGAAATTTACAGGGCTCTCACGGTAGTTGTTCTTTACAAAAGTAGAAAAAACTGAGTAAGAATAAGGCATTCGAATAGGAAACTATCAGGTGACCATCTTCCCTTCCCCAGTTGTGACCTCTGCCATGAATTGTATCCTGTGATCTCCGTCTCCTACTTTGGGGCCTTGTGCCACCCAGCTGAATTGGTTTTAAAAAGTTGAATCAGGGATGGCTTTTCTGCTACATTCTTTGGTGCCAAAGTTGCTAGTGATGGCTCTGGGCACTGCCATCCTCACAGATTGTGATAAAATCAGCAGTGTGTGGGAGACTCTCTTTTATTAGCACTGCAGGGGAATTACCAAACATGAAAAGGCTATGGTTGGGGAAAGGAAGTGACTGGTAACTGGCTGCCATTCCTCCAACAAGAGGAAACCCAGTCTAACCTCTTTTCTCAGCAGGAGGGTAGCTGTGATAACTCACCTTGAAACTGACACCACCAGTGTACTTAACCTCATTTTCTTTCCCTCTCTCCTCAGGTAGGGCCTCATCTCTGATCAGCTGAAAATCTGGGCCTCACTCTGGCCAACAAACCTAAGAATGGAAAGTTTCTTTAATTAAAGAAGATCCTCCAAAAGGTAAGAAATCGATGTTTTCATACGCTTGTATCTACACTCTTGGGAAATACCAGGCGAAGGAATCCAATTACTTTGTGAAAGAGCTAAGAAAAAAGTTGAGGTTAGATGCTTCGTAGTTTCTTCTCTAACCACTGTGGTAGGAGCTGCTATTTTATGGGAAATTCTTTTAGTATGAAATCTAAAAAATTTTGACACCAGACTAGCTCCAAAAGAATCCGTCAAAAACTGGATGGTGCCAGGTATGTCCACATAGTTCTGGGCTTTGGGAAGAGAGACCAAGAATGTCTAGGAGTCCTGAGTCCATGATGTAGGGCAGATCATGGACTTCTCTGGCCATGACTTGTTGTGATCAGAGTAACTCAGGTGTTTTAGGTATGTGTATGCGGTGAGGGGGAGGATTGCCCAGTGAATCTCATTGGTTTTCTACCTCTGAGGTCCTAGGTCCCCTGAAGAGTTGCCAGTCACCTAGGAATCTGGAAGTTTCTTGTCTGGAATGTCCAAGTTTCTGAAAATAAGGCGTTTCTGAGAAGAGGCAAGGTAGAAGGGAGAGAGAATACTGGGTCCAGAGATGGCAACTTGGCTAGACCAGAAAAAAAAAGTTTTGTGAAACTCTGGCACTTGTGCTTCCTGTAGACATATTGAACCTGCACACCATCCCTGGGTAGGCTTTGATTTCCTTGGAGTGAGATTCATGACACTGGTGGGCTGAGCAGAGTTGCCCTGATTTATAACCTCCCTCCCTCTCTAGCTTGACTCAGGCCGGTATTCCCCAATTGATTCTGTAGAAGTTGTCTGGGTAGAGGAGAGGCCAGGGAGCTGTTTATTTCTTTTGCTTGCTGTCATTCCCTTTCCCCTTCTTATTCTGAAACACTTGACCAGACACAAAAGATGCTCACTCCAGATTATGGCTTGTTGGAATTCTCCAGGAATTCCTGGGAAGATTCCCCACCTCCTAGAGAGTTGATAAGTATGTGTGGAACATTTTTCAGAGTTGGTACTGAATGTCTTTGTGGTTGATGTTTATTTCAATTGGGATGAACAAGACAGGTTTTCATAATTTGTCAATACAATGCTTTGTGTTTTAATTGTCTGACTACTAGATCTAATTGAAATGTTTTGAAACAATAATCTAATACATGCCCAGTTTAAAACATTTTTAAAAAGTCTATGTATTGTCCAATTTTGTCACAATGAACAAGAGGATTTATAGTCTATTCTCATTGTTTGCCATACTTATATTTTATTAAGTTGCTGTGAACACTGAATTACTGAATACTGAAGCGTTGGTCTGAAGGGAGTTAAAGGGTTAGATTATTGCAAGCTTCTGGTCACATTTTCATCAGCCAATTGATACAATCTTGTTTTATGGGTGTTTCTGGGTGTTCAGTCGTGCCCAACTCTTGGTGATCCCCGGTTGGGGTTTTCTTGGCAGAGATACTGGATACTTGCCATTTCCTTCTCCAGCTCATTTTACAGGTGAGGAAACTGAGGCAAACAGGGTGAAATGACTTACCCAGGGTCACACAACTTGTAAGTGTGTGAGGCCAGACTTGAACTCAGGAATATTAGTCCTTCTAACTCCAGGCCTAGCGCTCTATCCACTACACCACCTAGCTGCTCTTGTTTCTGTTTAAAGACACCTCATTTAATATATATATATATATATATATATATATATATATATATATATATTTATATTTATATTAAATATGTGTATGTATTACAAATAACTAGTTATATGCAAATTTCCTCTTCCTTTTTCTGGGTATGCCATATTGTTGATTGATTAATATTGAACTCCCAGCCAGTAGCACTATAACTCATACCTGAATGGCACTTATCTAACATAACGTATTTTCTCTGTAGGGCACATCACAGTCTTCTTAGGCTGTCTAGAGTAGCACTTCAGCACTGCAGTTGGGAAGCATTTTAGACAGCAGAAGCACAAGCAAAAATCACAAACATGTGAAATATGTGGCACTAAGTAGACTGCAAAAAAGACATTTGTTTACAGTATGAGACCTGAAACAAGAAGGCTGAGTATGACTTTGTTCGACTTTAGTTGGCAGTTTGAATGTGGGGCAACTTGAATTTTTTGCTGCTCTGTGCAAGGCTGCAAATAACAAGCAGAGTGTTGGGAATTTTGATTTTGGGGTTACAAATGCATTTTAGTTAGTAGACAGATTTGCAAATATGGAATTCGTGAATAATGGGAATCGATTGTATTTCCATTCAGTCTCATTTTTATGGAATGAGATTGGGAAGTAAAGAGCTTCCTAAAATGGATATGAGGATTTACCTAATGATTATTGTTTCAAACTCTATTTAATTTCTTCTCTCTCCTAAAATGTTTGCCATTACCCACAGGCATTGCCTCAGTGGCATAATGTTGATTCAAGACTATCTACACCTATGACATTTTCTGCTCTCTATTACTTGCGCTTCAAATGAATATTTCCCATCCATTGTAGCAATAGGTGTTTAAGAGTAACCTTCAACCATCCACTCTATTAGCACTTGGATGCAAAGAATATTATTTTTATTTGCTTTGCTAAGGCTGTGATTATACTTTTGTAGACCCTTAATCTGCCTGATCTTCCTGCCTGCTAAAGGAATTCACTTTATAAGAAATCTACTTTTATGTTGTATGTAAGTATTTTAGCATTTAATATGGAAATAAATTATTGCTTCTTCTCAGCCACTGGAAATTATTAAATGTATTTTTCCCTCTCAGTCATTTGTTCTGAATGATATTTTGTGTTATACAGAATTAGCTTATCTTTAGTTGATATCAATGATTGTGATACACGGCTGCAGCCAGTCCTTTCCAGAATTGCAAGAAAGAGCTAGGTAGGATGAAAATCTCAGGGTATTTTATTTCATGTAAGGCTCATTTTTCCAGGGGATCCTGGGAAACAAGGGGTTAGCTGAGTCAGGAAGACCCTAGCCAAGAGAGCTTTTAGTTGCTGGGGGGTCTAGTGAATATGGTTGAGAAGTAGAAATCAAGTATATCACTGATACGGAAAAGACTTCATTTTGGCCTTTATAATCATGGCTAATCAAGAGGTGGCAGTAGTGCTAACAGTCCATGTTAGCCAAATCTTAGCAGTGGATAAAATTGGAAAAGGGCAACTTGCTTGGCAGTTTTGGGTATTGGACTGTCACTGTTGCCTGCTTCCTCCAGTTTTTTCAAGGTTCCAATGCTAATGGCACCATGGTGAGATATCGTTGAACTCATTTTCATGAACCACATTTAACTCTCTCCCTTATCCCCTCTACAACCTTCCTGGGACTTGAACCCTGAGTCCTCTTCAGAAGTCACTCATGCCTTTTAGAATCACATAATCTTATTGTAGGAAGTGGCCACATAGTCCAACCTATACTTGACTTGTAACACGCCTAGAAAGTTACCGTCTTGCCTCTACTTGAACGTTTCCAGAGTTTATTACATCCCAAGGCAATATGATTCTGTAATTATAAACCCTGAGAGATGCTACATCTAACTGATGTAGTTCTGAGCCCACAGTAATCTCCATAGGAAAGATGGAAAAGTAGGAGGTAGGGATGGGGTACAGAGAGGGCAGAACCACACTCGCATTGAGTGTATGTGAATGGGTCTGTGTCATATTCTATGTTTAACTTTCCTAGCTGTTTTGCTTTGTTTTTCTGACATAAAACAATCTCATGGGAATCTGGAGAGTGTTAGCCAGTTAATTCTCAAATGAGCTTCGTACTCACAGAACTGAGAGCCTGAACTGGAAGTCAGGAGATATGAGTTCTTGACATAGCTCTGCCACTAACTAGTTTTGTGACCTCCTACAATGCGAGTCTTTTCTATCAGCACTTGCTGTGCAATTCAATTGAACAAATATTTTTCAGTGCCTACTATGTGAAAGACATTTCCTTTTTCTTCTTCTTTGCCAACCTGTTGTGTTCTCTTCTCTTTTCTTTTTTTTTTTCTCTGAGCTAGTGGAGTCTTTTACTGAACCTAGAACCAAAGAAATGTCATCCTGGCTCATAGTCCTTAGCCATCATGGTGGCATTTTAAAATGTTTTTTCTTTTTTTAAAAAAAAAATTTAAATAATTTATTTTGAATTATCAACAATCACTTCCATAAGCTTTTGAGTTTTAAATTTTTCTCCCCCTCCCTCCCCCCCTCACCAAGATATAGGCTATACATATACATTCCTATTAAACATATTTTCACATTAGTGATGTGGTAAGTAAGAATTAGAACCAATAGGAGGAACCACCAGAAAGAGGAAACAAAACACAACAGAAGAAAAAAAATAGCAAATAGTATGCTTTGATCTGCATTCAAACTCCATAGTTCTTTCTTCGTCTGTGGATAACATTTTCCATCATGAGGCCTTTGGAGATGTCTTAGATCCTTGTATTGCTGAGAATGGTTAAGTCTATCAATATTAGTTATCGCACAGCATGGCTGTACTATATACAACATTCTCCTGGTTCTGCTCACTTCACTCAGCATCAGACCATACAAGTCTTTCCAAATTTTTCTGAAGTCTGCCTGCTCATCATTTCTTTTGTCACAATAGTATTCCATTACATTCATATACCTCAACTTGTTCAGCCATTCCCCAATTGATGGGCATCCTCTCAGTTTCCAATTCTTTGCCACATGGTGGCATTTTTAAAAATGTGAAATTGACCATTTGGGAAATTGTTTCAGCATTTCCCTTTGACTTTGAAATGTGTTCTGAAAAGGAGCCAGATTTCACCTTCTTATGGAATCCATTCTTAGTAAAGTGTTGCATGGTATGTTTTTACATAGTTGAGTGGACGCTACCTGCCTGTTGTTCTGAAATTTCTCTTCCAGAGAAGTTCATGATAGTTTGGCTAATTTGGGCTTCTACTGTAAGATTACAGGGTGTTAGAGGAAAATGTTAAGATTAATGGTGTTGAGTTTCTTTTCATGCTAAAGACAACATGTAGTTATATATTGTTATAACCCTGAGAAAGCATTCCATTATGGTAA